CCGAGAGCATGCATGAACTCATGAGCGATGATTGTCAGCTGAAATCAGACGAAAAGCTTCACAAGCATGAGAGATACGTTAGAATGATGATCAAAATGTATTTGGATTGGAAGATTTGCCCACTTTTTATGCTACGGCGGGACTATTCCACCTTTCGGAAAAGTTGGCTATAACTGAAGGAGACTTGCTCTCGATGGGAACAGGTTCCCACATGCTTGTATTGGATTTCGTTTTAGGAGATAAGGTATCTTCAAGGGTGCACTGAAAGACTCAGTTAACCAAGGCCGAAGTTTTGCCCACAACGCGCCGACCTCAAAGGACTTTGCATCGCGTCTTGCCCCGGAACATCAAGCCATCCTTCACAGTTTTAGGGAAGTTCTACTTTTGTACAAGAGCTTTGTTTAGGGAACTTACTGTACCGCAGCCTAGCGACAAGTCCTGTTCGCCTCCAATCATTCCGACGGACGAGTAACAGCCATCACCTTCGATCACTCGAACGCGATTCGTAGCTGTCGCGTTCTCAACAAAGGTAAGACATGTGCGAGCACTGAGGTAAGCAAGAGTCTTGTTGACGAGCGCCCTCATTGGTGGTACTAAAGTGGAAAAGAGGTTTCAAAACTCGGCCAGGCAAAACTATCGTTCGCATGATTGGTGTTAACTACATACCAAAGCTTTCATTATAGTAGTAGAACACTATTTTGTTTGTCCACAAAGGAAAAAGCTTGGATGCTTGGCGTTTTTGTCGAGTTGTACCGTTGTTCAATTTCGATTCGAGGGCAGTGAGTTGTTCCCTGCAATTTGATAAAGAATTGTTTTCTGGAAGATTATTTTTTACACTATTGCTGAAAACCTCTAGAAGGAGTTATTTGGTGCCGTGTGAGGGTGGAATTTGTGCTTTGGGCGGGGTGTGTATGGGTGTTTCACCTATTGCAAGACAGCCGGCATGATAGTTTTACCAAGCTTACTCGGTTAGGTTGATATCGCCTTCGTACATGTAATCGCTGATCCCTGCGAAGCGATTTTTTTCCACGATCGAGCCGCTTCCAGGGAAAGACGTCAGGTTCGTTTCAATATTTCTCTGGAACAAATTTTTTTATCTGAAGCTGTAATAGTTCAAAGTTTAAATGCCTTCGAACATCTTCATCGGGGTTGGTAGACGTTCCTGCTGGTGAAGTGACCACGTTGACGAGCTGTAGGTTTCTCAGTCTCTCGCGGCGTTGCTCGGGATCGACTCCTCGGAGCGCCTAAACAACCTCATTACTGAAGCCGTTGAGGGTCTAGGAAGTTTTACCTGTGACAGGAATGCTCTCCCACTATTCGTAAGAGTGAAGCCACCGTCGAGAAGCAACAAGAGCAAGTAGACGAACACTACATAGCGGCTTTGCTTCGAGTTCATTCCTTAAAATTTCTTTAAAATTCCACGAATGAGGGCTTGCTCATTGCATGAGCTTGTTGGAAGAGCACACTGACTCACTCTTATATATGGCAACGCTCAGACCGATTCATTGGAATTGACAAAGTATTATTCAGGTTCCTCTCGGTTAGCGTACACTCTCACCAAATTGTAGACCACGTTCAATCCGATCAGAATATTATGAACACATCACGGGTGTACAGTTCCGTGTGCGTAAGTCGCTTATGGGATCAGCAGCTT